GAGCGTGCGTGTGGCCTGACTCGGAGGCGTGCGCGATCGGACGGGTTTCTAAGGCTCCGTCCTAACAGTCTGCTCTTTTGACAGTTGAATGAAATGGTGCTTTTTTACCATTTCATAAATCCAGAACACTTTTCGTCTCACACGCCACCTTCAGCGCAGGTAAGATCGAAACTTCCTATGCATTCCATGCCAAATAACGTTTGTTGCCATAGTTGACAAAAATTCAGGGTTGAATTGACGCGGTTGTACAGATATACGCACTGAATACTGATGGTTTAAATTGTGCTTCACCATCTATCAACAACCGTGTCGTACTCCACCTCATACACCTAATAAAGTAGAAAACAAATACCTTGGTTTATCTGTTCACTTTAAGAGGATCGTGATGATTGATGCACACACATCTATCATCAAAACCCTGAAAAATGTACGAATTTGTGATAATCTGTACCAAAGAGTGCGTCGCATACAAAAAGCGTGCTCCCCAAATTGCATGCATGTGTTGAGCTCTATTCAGTTAATCGGCCATTCCATGAGATAACCTACCTCAGAATGTAAGCAAACTATGTGATTTATGCGCTGCTCAAAGACTCGATACTCAGCCAGATCACTTGAAATTAATACTTACTGAACTTCAAGTTCATCGCTTATCTCAGAAGAGGAATAGCTGTGGAGTTTGCGACAAACATGATTAAACCGAATCCGGTGTTTGTGAATATGTCCATTTTTTTATTCATTGATCTCCTGTGGGGTCTACTTTAACATCTTCCTATTTTGATCACTGTTCACAAATCAGGAACTGCGTTTCGTTCCCATAGCCTTATCTGTTCTATCACTAATGATTACACAACTTTATGCCACAACTGTGCTTCTCACAGCCCCGTCTATCGTCAAAAATAAGTTGTCTCACGTGAATCCATTCGTCAGATATTTCTATAGAGTTAAAATTGTCACCTTCTGAGGTTTATTCTGGATGTCCGTCATGCTCTGGTTCAACTTTGAGGTAAATAAGCGCTGGGATTTTCTCTGTGGTAACACCATTGACATCCACTTGCATCATTCTATCAGCATTTAACAAGAACAAGTTAGCTGAAATTTATGGATTTGCATGAAGGTACCGGACCCGGTGACCCGATGGTCTTGCTGAAAAACCTCTCGGATATTACCTTATTTGGTCACTGCCTTCCGGGGTGTGAAACAGCAAACTCATGCCAGCGAATGCACATCGTGCCCGTCCAAAAGAAGTAAAAAGTATCACCTAACTACTTCAAAATCGATCCTACTGAAAACTCTGAAATATATCGTGATGTGCGCTCGATGAAAAAGCCGCAAGCAGCAATCACCCATCAAATTTGTTGCATATCTAATGCATTATATATATATCTCATGTGAGTAATGGAGGATTTGGTTAAACTTCAAATGGGAATTCGTCGTGTATATAGCAAATGAAGCGTGAACTGAAAAGCTCGGAAGCACTCACATGAAATAATCAGTCAGGTTGTGAATGTTTCCAACTGAGTCATAACCCCGGAGGCTAGTGCTGAGTTGAGCAGGGTCCGTGGCCCGCAACAAACTTTCAAAGATGGGTTGTGCTATATCGTGTAAATGGAAAATGAAAAACGGTCTGATCAGCTCCTCGGTGGCGTAGTGGATAGCACGCTTGTGTTCGGTCCATGAAGTCCCGGGTTCGATCCCCAGTCGGGTCGGTGGATTTGCACTGCTGATGAGACCCAACCGGGTCGAAACAGCTGTCCAGTGCTTCTGAGCTTTCCAGTTCACGCTTCATTTGCTATATACACGACGAATTCCCATTTGAAGTTTAACCAAATCCTCCATTACTCACATGAGATATATATATAATGCATTAGATATGCAACAAATTTGATGGGTGATTGCTGCTTGCGGCTTTTTCATCGAGCGCACATCACGATATATTTCAGAG